AAATATGAAATATCATTAAGGGTCATGTCGTGATCTATCACATAGTAGTCCTTAATGAACTCATTATATGACTCTGGAAGTGATTGAAGAACCTAGTCAATATCCAACTTCCTTGAGAAAACGACACCCAACATTCTCAGCCTATCAATATGTGACTTCATCGCCAAGACATGAGTACACACAAGACTTCCATCTTTATGTTTCATTGCAAGTAGGGCTTGAGTGATCTTGAACCTTTCAAGTCTTCGAATTTGTGGGTCAGAGAGAATAATTGGAGGAGGTGGAGGAAGTGAAGTATGATTTCCAGTCCCATTAATGCACAACAAAGGGATTGATCTTTCACCTTGATTTCCATTTGGGATATCATCTTCATAAGGAAATCTTGTTCCCAAAGATTTGGGAAGACCATAGTTGTCTGAACTAGACATCTACAAGGGAGACATGAAATTCAAGTTAGTTGATTTAACGTCCTTAATATAACACCCAATATGAAATATTAAGGCTAGGACCCAACACAATATTTTATAACTTGGAAGAGGGATGTCGTAGTCCAAGCTACAAAATATCTTAAGGTAGGTAAATGACGATTTACCAATTTCCGCCATGAAAAAACGAAATTGTTTATTAAGTTTTAATTGGATTGAAACTCCTAGATCCTTTGAGATTCATTTAACTATTCAATGGCATGTTTAAATCTCGATTGTGCCCTTCAAGTTTGTGACTGGGATGCCGAGGATCACAAAACAAGGAGTGAATAACCATGCAAATTAGCTTGGTACACCCAATGTTACAACCACCTAATCAATGTGCCGGTTAACCACACACGCTCCATTGATCCATGGTTAACATCAAGCTACCCTTTGCCACACATTGTCAGTCCCAGATTAGTGTGCCGGTTAACCACACACGCTCCACTAACGATTTAACAAAGGTGCAAAGTACAATTTCATGGGTTAGCACCATTTCACATTTTCCTAAGTAACTAAGATTGGGAATTTATAAGTGTTTAGTTACTTAGTTATTTATCATTATACTTTTAATGAAGGGAGAATTAGAGTCTTATCCTACCCGTTCGGCTAACGACCCTCCACCAGTCAAGGAAGCGGTGGGTGAGAGTGGACACCCATTAAACTGCCATTTTATAGGCAGTAACCTTATGCCCCCCTTAGAGACTGGCTTCGTGAATGAGGCCTACTAACGGTAAGATTAACTTTATCGTATACATACATACATATTGTATGTATGTATGTATATATATATATATATATATATATATATATATATATATATATATATATATAGTCAGTAACTTTTAATACTATAACAGTATAAGGTTGAATTTTAAACTTTTAAAATTCTAAGGTTTGATTTGGAATTAAAGTATTAGTGTGTGTGAGACTTTACAAATTCCAAAACTTGAGGGAAAGTTTTGAAACTATTCAAAACCTTTCATATTCATAACATATGAGTTTAATGTTTCTTTAATGGCAAGACTCTTGAAAAAGGACAACTTATGGAGATCATAAAACAATTTATGAAAAGAGACTCTTGAAGGTTTATAATTTATGGCTTTAATAACTTTTTAAAGGAAAAAACTTTTTGTTTTCCATAACTTGAGGACAAGTTATGGAGTCCATTCAATGTCATTAAGATCAAGAATTACACTAACAAACAATTTGCACATAATTCCTATGATCTACCAAAACTCATAAGCATGAACAATCCATATTAACAATTTTTCAAGAATCATATAAACATATATAAAACTTGAAACTTTGATAATAACTTTGAAACTGGTTTACCATAATCATTACCACATTAAAAACAGGTTTTATAAATCCAAAACATTTAAGGTAATGATTCTAGACCAATTCCAGCACCAAAACTCAGAAATCTACATTATGGGAGACCAACTCGTCGAGTTCTATAAGGAACTCATAGAGTTCATGCATTAACTCATGAACTCGTCGAGTTTCATGTCTAGGCAGATTCTTGGCTTTGAAAAATGAGTTGCATCAAGTATAATTGAAAACCAAGCCTAGGCTCTGATACCACTGTTGGGTTTTGAGCATTCTAACACTCCTATGGTGTACATGAAACCCTAAATACCTTGGATCTATGTTTTCTCTATTATACATGCAAACTTGAAGTTTCCAAGGTATTACCCTAACTAGCATATAATCATATGTTACTTGCATAATAAAACTAGATAGAATACATACCTTTTTCTTGTAGTTGATTACTTGGAGCTTTAAGAGCCTAGCACCAATAATCTGAATGTATCAAGTGGAATCACAAATCATCATCAGCTACTTGGAAGACTTAAGAGAATATGTAGGCTCACAAAATCGGGTCTCTTTCTTTTAACACACACTAGTGCCAATTTTATGAGCCAATGACTCCTTTATATAGTATGCATGATTAGGGTAAACCCTAATACCCATGACTTTCCACATTACTTAGGATCCATGGGTTAAAAGCTCCATGGACTATCCATGGACTTCCATGTAGGCTTAACCCATCCTAAATAATATTAGCCCATACTATATGAGTCCATATTTAACTAGTCTCTTTTTTATCACTAAATTAATTCCAAATTAATTCTTGATCAATACTAATTAAATAATATGATTTCATATTAATATATTAGAACTTATAATATATTAATAAATCATAAATACCCTTTTCTCATAAGTCTATCCATACAAATTGTTCCGGTGAAGTGCAACCCAAATGGACCATGTCGGGTCGGGTCAAGTATATACCAATTATAGTTATGGACTTAGACACTAATCCAACACCAACAACAACATATGGAAATTATTTTTTCATAATTTTTTCCCTCTTCTTCATCACAAGCTCGAGATCCGGTCCCGAGAGATGGTTGGTGTTTTCCATTAAGAACTTCATATCCTCCATTTCTTGTCTCTCTGTGCGCTCCTTCTTCCTTGCTTCTTCTTTTTCTTTGTCGAACGCCAAACGTTCAGTGAAATTAAGATTATATCAATCAAACGACGCTGTTATTTTCCGCATTTCGTCAAGGTCCATGCTGAAATTCGATGCACCCGAAGAAGTCCCTTTTCCCTTCCTTTTTGCTTTGTCCCTACTCATCGGTCAGACAATTTCTTCTAGCTCGAGTTCGTCCTTCTGATTTAAATCTAGACCGAGCCGAGCATTGGAGGAAGTTGTGTAACGACTAGAACCCGTTTTCGTTCGCTTTGATTATTGTACTCCAAAAATAAAATCTTGCTTGTATTTTCACTAGGACTTTTAACCAATAATTTCCAACAATCGTGCACTTGAATGGTTTTCCGACTTCTTCAAGGTAAAATTGCAAAGCTTGTTGAAGTATTTCTTCATCGCCTTGGCCGTTTTTTCATTGGATTTTTAGGTTGTTGTACAACCCGTTTATTTTTGAAACCCCCTTTGCTATTTCTCGAAACTTCGAATTCATTTGGTGTTTCGTACGGTAGTCGCCATCTTTTCCTAGCTCCTCCCGAAACCGTTCTAAAAATGCGATGCCAAAAATGATCTCCCGGTTGTGCATTTCCTGTCTTCGAATCCTCAGAAATGTCAACCCAAGCTTTTACCAAAAATAGTTCTTCTTGTGGAAGCCACGGTATCGGCTTTTGTCTTCCCGGTTGTGCGACACCCTCGCACGGTTGTTGTTTTCCTTTGTGTCATTGTGGAGTGGGTTGAGTTTCGGGAACCATCTCTTCTTCTTCCGAGTCATCCAACTCATCGACAAGTCGGAATTGTTGTTGGGTTTAGGGTTAGGTTTGAGGTTGATTTAGCGAATGTTGATCGAGAAAAACAACAAAGTTTGAAAACATTTGCGGAGTAACATTTGAAACTTGGACCGGGTAATATTGTATAACATTTTAGTATTGAAATTTTAGTGGAGATTGAATAGGAGCATCGAGTTTGGGACGATAAACTCTTTGTGATGATGAATCGATAGCAAAAATGTTTTGAGTAGGGGTGCTTAAACTCGAAATATGAGTTTTTTCCCTTCTATCGGAGGTTGGGATTTAATTGTCGGGATTCGTTTTTTTTTTCAATAGAGGTTGAGGTTTGATTGAAAGTAAAAGAGTATGAGTATTTATAGAGGTTGTAGAGGGTAAAAAAAATTACATTTCAAACCATATAGCCGTTGTAAATACAAAAAAAAAAAAAATCACATTTTATTGTTTTTTAACAGTTATATATAAAAAAAATTCTACCCAATCCCCACGGAACGAGAACGCGGCAACCCCACTCCCTATCTCCTCCTCGCTCAGCCCTTCCCGCACTGCTGGTGCGGTGTCTATCGGAGCGGGAAAGACCCCGCCCCTCTTCCTGCACCTGCTTCCGTCTGGCCAAATTGTTTAGATCTTCTAAGTATCAAAGAATGATTACAGTAGTTTTCAACGAATTTTTATCCAAATTCCTTTTTGGAGGGTAAAGAACAAAGAGAAGTTGAATGGAACAATCGTAAGAGATATTTTTCTCCGTAAATAATATTTGCTCAAATGTATAAAACTATAGATAATAAAATGTATTAAAACCAGACACGGGCCCACTACGTTATTTTTGGAATCTCTAAACTGCCCGTAAATTACTGACACATGCCCGTTGTCAGACGTGTACCCGTCCATCTGCCCGTAGCCACCTTCCTCCGCCTTTGCCCCCAGTGTCCCCATTTATCTCTGCAGCTACTTAAATACGATGCCCTTTAACCCTTTCTCCATTCCCGACCACCAATCCCTCTCTTGGTGGTAGTAGATGATTCCGGTGGACTTCCGTCGGTCTTCTGCATAAACCATCAAAACTTCAGATTACCCTAAAACCATGGGACAGGGTCTTAGTTGCAGGGTACAAGATGAACATGGCTTGTTCACTGCAGTACAGTTTGGCGATTTGGAGATTGTGAAGACTGTTTTGGAGAGAGAGAGATCCATCTCTGATTCAACAAAAAACCATTTATGATCGCCATTCTGCTCTTCACATAGCTGCTGCCAATGGCCAGATCGAGGTTCGTAGTTTATCATTTCTGGGTTTCTCTGTTCGGAGCTTGGACCTTCCTCAAATATTGTTATTGTATTTGATCGATTTGATTGATGGGTGCTTTTAATTTTGTATCTTTGATTCATATATTATCTGGGTTTTCTTCCAGATTCTTTCAATGCTTTTTGGAGAATCGATCTGTCAATCCTGATTCTTTGAATCGTCATAAACAGGTGTGCTATTTCCTCTCATTCTCATTCTCATCGATTGATTTGAAGTTTCTATAATTTTCAAAAAAAAATTCTAATATGAAGTCCCGAGCTCTTTGAAAAACACCTGCTACTCGATGCCGTCTCCTTCCCATTCTGATACCACCGCCATGGATGATAACATCTCCGAGGTAATTAATGAATTAATCTCCACAATTTGTTAAACTTTTCATGGTCAAGATTCAGAAACACGGTAAAAACAAATGCAGAAAGACAAAAACTTTTGGATTGTTATACGTTGAAATGGTCATAGTTGATGACTTTTGACTTTTGATGACCAGATATTTTTGTCGACTTTAAACACCATACGTTTACATTCGATTTCAATTACTTTAATGAACACTTGAATAACATTCTAGAATCGAATTTAAAATTTGAATCAACTTGATATTTGCAATTTGCAGGCGAGTGATTCACAGTTATGCTGCATATGCTTTGACCAATTATGCTCCATTGAAGTTCAAGATTGTGGTCATCAAATGTGTGCTCAATGCACACTCGCATTATGCTGCCACAACCCACAACAAACCGAACCTGACAACCTTATCCCTGCCCGCACCCATCTGCCCGTTTTTCCGAAGCAACATAGCCCGGCTGACCGTGGTCAAAGTCAAAGTCAACACTGCTGACCAAGAACTCGATCTTTATTCCTCCCCTAAACAGAGAAAATCAAGAAAGTCTCAGAATTTAAGTGAGGGGAGCAGCAGCTTTAGGAGTTTATCGGTTGTGCCATCGTTTGGGAAAATTGTGGGTCGCGGGTTGGGTCAGGTTTCGGTTGATAATGAAATCGATAAACCGTGAAAAAGGTTATGAAAGTTGGAAACTTGGGTTGCAAGGAATAGGGGAAGAAGTCTTGGGGTTTCCATGTATAGAAAGATCTCTTCGAATTTGTTATTTGTTTTAAAGATTTGTGGGGAATAAGTAAAAGCAAAAGGTGGAGGGAGGTTTGGGTTGGTGAGTATTTGTTTCCATTGTATTTACTTCTACTTGAAGCAGAAGTAGTAAAAGCTTGCATGGGAGACTTTGTTTAATTACTCTCTCTTTGATGGTTCTTGAAGGGAAAAAATCAAATATAATATTGCACATATCTCACCTTACACACATTACAAATCTCTATATCACTTTGTGGTTAACCTATACATTATCGTAAAGTCATAAAGATGCAAGAAGAGTGAAGATCCACCTCCTTGTATGCTTAATGGAGAATATAGAAAAAGAAATAGGATGAGGATCATAGAAGCTAGAAGCGTCTTAGGGAATTATGTTAGGATTATGCACATAACTAGGCGAATACCCGCGCGTTGCGCAAAAGCATCTATATTGCTGAAATATCTACAAATATATGTTTTTGTTTAAATATAACAATAATGTTGTTGTTAAATTTGATATAATAATTCCTATACTAAGTTGATATAATATATTGATTATTTGGAATTATATGATAATATACACATCTATTAAAATTGCATAATCTCAATCTTTTGAACGACATCTACCTGCGGGTTACTCATGAATAAAATTAAATATAATATATGGTTTAATGTTATTTATAGTTGTTGTTATTGTTAATTAATTTTTTAAAATTTATTTCCTTAACGTTTTAATTTATATCATTGTAACTATTTAAAACATAAAACAATTTTTTTTTATTTTAAAGGTAACAATATAATCATTTATATAGAGTTATTTTTTAATTATTTTTATTGTAAGTTATTTTAAGCTACTTATTTGAAAATTTTTAACGATTATAAAAATATTTTTAGGAAATATTTTAGTTAAATTGATATTACAATTTAGTTTTTGCACTTCGCACTTTTAACTATTCACAAAATATTCATTGGGTTATTTAAGTGGAATTGAAATTTATATTGAAGCTGACCCTGCAATGTTATATTTAAATTAACAATTTAAGTATTTTGTCCAAACTGTTCAAAAGTTGTAGCTTTAAACTGATAATGGTTTACATACAACAACATATTAAATCTAATAAATTAAGTAGAATATGTTAAAGTTAAAGACATAACTTTATAAGTAGAAGTAAAAATATTATTTTAATATTGAAATTTAGTTTACTTATGATTACACTTTAGGTTTGATATTTATTTAACATTATTAACCAACTTATAATCTTTATTAGAAATATACTACAATTTATCACTTTTAACTATTTACAAAATATTCTTTGGGTTGTTTAAGTTGAACTAAAATTTATATTTAAGTTAATCATGTAAGGTGATATTTAAATTAACAATTTAAGTATTTTATACAAATTGTTCAAAAGTTGTAGCTTTAAAATGATAATGGTTTACATACAATAACATATTAGACCTAATAAATTAAGTATAATATGTTAAAAGTTAAAAACATAACTTTATAAGTAGAAGAAAATATATTATTTTAATATTGAAAGTTAGTTTATATATGATTACACTTTAGGTTTCATATTTATTTAACTTTATTAACCAACTTATAATCATTATTAGAAAGAAATTGAAAAGTCATGGGAGTTTCAAATTAATGTGGTGAAAGGAAAAATGCATGGGAGTTTCAAATGAATGTGGTGAAAGGAAAAATACTTCCTTTATAAGTATATAATGATGTAAAGCCGGTCTACAACCTATTTCCGAACTACAAATGTCGACACAATCTTTTCCCGATAGAAATTGGGCTTCATTAGAAATCGACTCTTAGCTGTAATATCTTTTGCTTTAATTATAGACAGGATTTCTCATGAATTCGAGTAAGGTTAGATGGTTCATACTTTTTGTCGACAATAGTGTTGGATTCGTTGAAGATGTCGTTTGAGGGAAATGTGTTACATATATATCAATATATTTAAGACATAATATGTATGGTAAAATTTTAAGAGGAAACACGGAATAAAAATATGTATCTATGAGGAAGCTTATAATAACAATAAGGGTCCTTTTTTTTGTAGTTCATCCTGAGCCTTTGAGGATATTTAATTCCTCAGGACCGGCCCTGATTAGAAGTGGAGACGAAATGTTAGACAAATCAGGAGGAAAGATCATACAAGAAAGAAGTTAATATATTGCCAGGTAAAATTCAAGAAGTTAACTTTTACCGAGTACATGACCATGTCAAGAGGTTGTAGAGGCTCAAAATCGGGATAGTTGAGTAGTATCAGTCAAATGTAATTTTGTATGTTTGTGTTCATGTAACTCTTTTATAGGGTCTCTTACGTAAATTTGTTTTCTATATATTCAATTGTCTCCTCCCGTTTTGGGCAGTGAGTCATTTTACCACATGGTATCTGTGACAACCGTCAATTTTGGCCAAGTCAAAGTCAACTAAAGTCAACAAGTCAAACCGGTCAACTCATCTAACCCTTGTATATTAGGGTTCCCATTATGTTTCTTATCGAACAACTCGCAAATCCTAACACAAAGTATCACTTGGAATTTTCACGTGTTCGGAAACTCTAAACCCTAATCGGGGCAAGTGATGAAACTACTCGATAAAACATTATTCCTTAACCCTCGGGGGCATATAACAATCATAACAAGACTTAACGAGGTTTACAAACCTTGCGTTACAAAGCCAAACACTCAAAAAGGTCACAAAAGAAGTCTCTCCCAATCTCTTTCACTCTAACTCTCCCAAAACTCTCTAAGTATGAGAAATCTCTCCAAGAATGTCAAATCTCTCCCAAATCTCTCCAAGAATGTCAAATCTCTCCCAAATCTCTCTCTGTATGAGAAATCTCTCCAAGAATGTCAAATTTCTCCCAAATCTCTCCAAGTATGTGAAATCTCTCCCAAATCTCTCTCTGTATGAGAAATCTCTCCAAGAATGTGAAATCTCTCCCAAATCTCTCTCTGTATGAGAAATCTCTCCAAGAATATGAAATCTCTCCCAAATCTCTCTCTGTATGAGAAATCTCTCCAAGAATGTGAAATCTCTCCCAAATCTCTCTCTGTATGAGAAATCTCTCCAAGAATGCGAAATCTCTCCCAAATCTCTCCCAGTATGTGAAATCTCTCCAAGTATGTCAAATCTCTCCCAAATCTCTCTCAAAACCTCTTTTGGCCTTTTTGTAATCATTTGGGGCATCCCGACACTTGACTTGGTGAAAAACCATGCGAAACGGGAAGATACCTTGGAAAATAGCCTCTTAGGGCCGAAGTCCCTCTATAGAGACCAAACCCTCCTTGAACCGGAGTCTTCTTGGTAGCCGCAGCCGGCGAGCCGCAGCCGTCGAGCCGCAGCCAGCGACCGCAGCCACCGACCGCATCCACCGACCGCAGCCACCTAGAGCCCGCATCCGAAGTCGCCTCCGGTTCTAGCTGCTCGGACCGCAGCTTCCTTTTCCCTTCGAATCCGCATCCGCGACCAAGCCCCACCTCGGATCTAAGGCTGTTAAGGCCGAAGTCACCCTCCTGACTTCGGATTTGCCATTTTCCACTCGGTTTTCGACCACGGCTCCATTTTAAGTCCGTTTTTAATTATTTTAACGTGGGATTTTCTCCAGAAATCATATTTTAACATATAAGACCCTAAATATTCATAATTTAAACATATTTTTATGGAAATCTTTATTTAAGAATAAAATCTGGTGGGTGAATAATTGAGGTGGAGTGTTTACTTTACTTTAGTTTATGACACAAGCAACCACCCCCATGCCCACTCCATGACCAGCTATTGTCCTTACACCATACTTGGTCATTCAAGAGTACTTTCCCCACCATTTGACCAGCCACACTATTGGTCAAGGGTTGGTAAACCCCCTCTCCCTCCTCACACTTCTCTCGTTTTCACACTTTCCACCAAAGATCAAACACATCTTTTCTCTCAAACTCTCTCTCACAATTTCGAGATTTCCAAGGCATTTTTCAAGCTCTCTTCCACTCTTGGTAAGTATAATTCATTCTTCTTATAATTATTTCCCTTTCTTCTTCCCAAATCATAGATTGCTTACACAAATTCCATCACATTTGTGTTAGATCTTCAAATCTTCAAGGCATCTTCCAAGTGTTCTTGAGTTGAACACTTCTTTTCCCCATCATCCATCTACTGAAAACACTCAAGGTGAGTTCATACCCCTATCTTTTCATGTTTTTCTTAAGTTTTAAGGGGGGGAATACAAGTTAAAACAACAAGAACACAACTAAACTCATTTAACAGCCTTCATCAGAAAAGTTCATCTCCATTCACGGACTGTTTTGGTCAACTTAAACATTTTAGTTTTCAAAACTGTATTAGGTGCAAATAGTTCAGGTTCATACCTTTAAAATGACTACTTGCACATCACCATACGATTTTTCTACGATTTATGGTGATTTTTACAAAACTGCCTATCATTTCAGAAACAAATTCGGACCAGTCTGTGAATATGAACATTTTAACACGAGTTAAAGACTTCTAAAAATCATAATAAAAATTATAAATAAACTAGACACATTTTACGAACTCTCACAATTTACGGATTCAGTTTTAGACTTCGTATGATTTTTCTATGATTTTTTCTAAAACAGTGTAGAAAGATAAAGATCTAGATAACAGCTTATAACTTTCAACACACTTTGTAACATGTTGAGCAAAGTGTTAATCTTTAATGACTTCATATTTTACATGTGTTTCTTGTTGTGGAATAATTGTATAATAGAAAATACTCACTGAATTTTAAGAACCCTCCATCATTACCAATAGTACAACACAAGGCATGATAAACATAGTTAAATTTTGCTATACATTCGACTTACATAGAAAAGGGTTCTTAGCCACCACAAACAAACATACTAAACTATAATAGGTATAGTTAGGTTGCATATACATTTCAA